CGAATATTCCGATGTCGGATTCCAGCGAGAACACACCGACTTTTTCTATCATCATCATCATCATCATGATGGATTGATCAATATATACACTCATTCAATTATCCTCAATGTTGACTGCCTCATACACACTCTTGTGACACCCTGCCTCTCAGAGGCAGTAGTGAGGCAGCGGCTACGTCCCGATTTGAAGCGGTGGGATCGGAAGATACCCACAGCACTATCGCTGTATTTACAGAGGGTACCTCCCGATTCTAGCGCTAAAATCGGTAGGTCTGCACTGAAGCTGTATGGGTTCCACATCTGCACAAGTGCCCGGGCCACCATCTGCGCAAACACAATTGCCATGCACAAGTATCTGGCCGACTCGGTATGCCAGACGTCAGCATCCGAATGTGACGGCATGTTGCACTTCCCAAACCTCGTCACCAACCGCTGCAAACCGACTGACATCCACAAGCCGCCTCCTTTCCTTCGTCTACCGCACGCACAAGTCCAAGTGCACACAACTTCCGTTCAAACTCTCAGCCGCAGCCTCTATCCTCTTCCAACCCCTCACCGCGGGGCACTGCGACGCCAGCGCCCACGTTCTGGCTTGGATTCCACAATCAGCAGGGCCACGGAGGTGGATGCAAGCAATGATCCGTCCCACGTGCTCCATCTTCCGGTCGGCTCTGCCAGCGAATGCGAATAATCAGCCAACACTCTGGCCGAGAGACCTGCAGTTGCTCCGAAGGAGACCGCCAAAGTCCCTGCTTCCCGACGGCTGCGTCCCCGCCAGGCCGACACGACAGGTACGCTTCCCACTTCCCTCTAACCACTGATTAGAACTTCGCGTTGCAACACAAGCTGACCCGTCGTCGGATGCTTCTCAGATATTCTACCCTTCGCGTCAACAACAATTCAATTCGCCTCCGAGTCCGATCCTCGCCCCCACTACGCCCGAAGGCCTTTCACAAGATTCGCCAGGTCTCTTGTAGCCTACTCGAAGGTGCCTGATGCCCGCGATGGCCCAAGCAACCATCTGAAGCATTTCTGCCGGGCCTGCCACCACATACCTCCACCTCTTCATAGGATCCGCCTTGGGTCTTGCGCGAAGACTGTGTGTCTCCACGGCTCATACACCACCGCCATGCTCACGGCCATGGCATAGTAGCGGCACCGTACAAGACCCCGCGAGCACATCGAAACACCAGGTGAGCAGTCACATTTGCCTAGGCCATGGTATTGTCAGATTCTGACTGGCACAGACTTGCGTCCTGCACCCTCCAAGTTTCTCGTTTCTCCCTTTAGGAACTTCCATGTCCTCGACAAATCACTTCGCCATCTGCCTCGAGTCCATGCCAAACCCGATTCTGATCGCATACGAGCCCGACATGCCTTCCTCGAAAGCGTCTTCTTGAAGCTCCAGCCCCTCGCAAGCGGGATACCAACAGCGACCATAGAGACATGAGCATGGATTGCCACCGCCTCTGGAGGCAGCGCCGAGAAAGCTCATTACGCAAGATTGGCAAGTATGGGAGCGAGGAGAAAGGGCGCTACACTACACCACTCGCAAGTGCAGGCGAGCAAGCTTGTTGGGTATGGGAGGTGACTATATACCGGAGTACGGCGATCGTCCTGCCCCGGAGGACGACCCAGCATGCCGTCTTCTTGTCAGGCGGCTATATCTGCGGCATTATCTCTTTTGATACGTTAGTGTCGGCTGATGGACGAGTCCTCGCGCACGTGTTGGGTGCGCTAGAATTCTGCAAAACCGTCGAAGCAGCCCTTGATCCATCGCTCGCTCGGAGATCTTTGGAACCCGCAATCTGCAGAGCGAACTGCGCTTCTTCCTTGTCCTCCGCAAGATCAGTGTCAGCAGCGCATCCGCCGGCGGCTCCGGTGACCAGGCGTGGCTCCTAGACGTCAACAGAGCACCATAGTCCCAAGATTCGCGTTGCTAGTGTAGAGACTCCAGGCCCCGGGTACTTGCGCCAAGCAGTTGAGCTTGCTCGACTTGATACCTAGCAGCCGTTGTCTGTGGAAAGCTGGAGGCTCATCCGTTCCAGTCTCGGCATCCAGCAGCAACGATAGCTAGAAATGGTCCATCCCGCTGCCACTTCTGCTGCCGCAATTATTGCCATTGCACGGACTTGCCTCTATGTCAGCTCGACAACTGAGGCCGGCGCAGCCGAGGCGCACATGGTCTGGGTCCGCCATCATGGAGATCGCCTTGGGGCACTTGCAAGACGCACCGCCGCACCGAAAAATTCGACACTAACCTTGTGGGGCGGACAGAATCCCCGAGAAGAATTGAGGAAGTACAGCGATGCTTCCGGGATCCTTCACGTGGCGAGCGCTTGTGAAGTGTCTGGTTCCAAACCTCGACGAGTTCCACCTCGTCAATGGAGTCCAATGCTGCTTCCATTGTCGCCTTCGCCATCTGACGAGTTGGGTAGGAAGGATCCTGGTGTCCTTGCATGCTGGGAAATTTCCAAACACGCCCCCTACCCCGCCGGGCTGTTACATCATCATCACTTCCATGGCAGGCGTAACTTACCCCGGCGTTCCACCTCCAAAGTCTTCGTGCCCAGCTCCAATGTCGACTTCACCAACTTCAACATCGCCTCCATCCTCGAGTTCGACCACCAATCTCGTTCCTTCGCTGTGGCCAAGTCACACTCACCGCCAACTCCAACTTTTCAACTGTAAGTACGGTAAGCTGCGTCCAATTCCTAATTCGATCTGCTTTCCGCCATCCCTTCAATCGGTTTGCATCGAGGGAGGTTTTCTAACCTTGCATTCTCCAGGTCGAAATGTTAGCCGTGCGATCCTCCGGGCAACCCAGACCCGATTCTCCGCGGCCATCATCTGCCAAGCACCAAACCTACAGCGGCCTTGCCGAAGCCCTCAAGCCTAATGCCAGCGTCTCCTTGAAGAGGACCACGGCTCGGGCTGCTGCCAAGGCCACCGAAGCCCCGTACAAGATCACGAGCGCCCGCGCAGGCTTCAACGTGTCTAAGGGCGTCATGGTCGTGATGTACAAAGTCGAAAGTCCAGAGATGCCGGCTAGCCACATGCCGACCGACAACGACGGATGGATCCTCGAGAAACGTCTGGATCAGAATGCCCTGAACTATTACTGGGCGAAAACTATAGTGCGCAGCCGCCAGACGAAGCCTGGATGGACGAAGGCAGCCTGGTTACAATCAGTCGAGGAAAAGCAGCGAGCCGAGCGTCAGACACAAGGCAACCGCGCTTCTGACGTTGCCGTTTCCACTGCGGGCCCCGACATCACTCAGAAGAAGAAGCGCAGGCGCAAGAGTGAGGAGGACGAAGATGGGGATTACGTGCCACCAGCAGCCAAGCGCGCACGATGAAGCGAGTGGGAACGGAAATGGCTAAATCTTCAAACCAAAGAACCGAAAGTCCAATGAATCTCAATTATCCCCTGAAGATGGGCATAATTAACGGGCTTCCAGTCTGTTTGTCCGGGGATGTCTTATGAGCAATAGCAAGATATGGGCGCACTTGAGGGCATGAATATGGGCAGCTGGTCTCGTACATTTTGTTAGTTATTGTAAAGTGCGCTGATGTAGTAGCCATGCCAAAACATGAGCTGCTGATTATCCCCTTTGGACCACAGTCTCATTGATTATTAGTTGTCGTCAAGTGCTGCACTATCCTTGCGGAGTTGAGATCTTATACATCTCATGCTACTTCTTATATGCTGAACGGTGCAACCTCTACTACTCTTCATGTCCCGAGTTATCCTCCTATCACATAGATGCGACTTTGGGATTCCTCACTCTGCATCCATCCATGTCCGTGATGCCGGTTGGCGAGGATGAGTCGAGATCTGTGAGGAGAAATTTGGCTGTTATGGCGGGTAAACTAGCTTGTAATCTTCGGGCATATCAACGAGAAATGGTTCTCATTAGCGTATTGAGGAGCTGTCTGCCATTGCTCCGGGTAAGACAACTGGACCTTTCGACCAACGATTCAAAACATGTCCGAATTCAAGTCGAAATGGGTATGGAAAGGAATGAGGTTGAGAATGAATTGATCAAGGAATGGTATGCCCGGGAAAGAAACAACACGTGGTATTTGAAATCAAGTGGCTTTGAATGATAACGGAAGACCTTAATTTAGCTCCAGACACTTCCTTACCCTCCGGTCTCAGGATGGCGAATGTTGAAACGCATAACTTCCAACAGTCACTGAGCAGTGTGGACTCCGGGCATGTGGACTCTGGGCAGGTGCAGGCACCCAGTCCTTTGTTGAGTTCCTCCATGGCTCACGTTGGCTAGATATTTGTCAAAGCCATGCGCATCTTCAGCTTCCAATTACTTCACACCATTCCCATCCACCACGACAAATGCCGACGGCAACAAAGCCGCCATACTACCTTGCATTTCAAACTTCCCCCTCGTATTTCTTTAACCAAAATAAGAAGCATGCGATGTTCAACAACGGCAAGCGCGACCCGCAAATGAGCGTGGCAGTCAAACGCGGTTGGGAGACATAGAAATAAAACGAAGCCCGTTCTCATGGACAGTTGCCCTCTAATCCCTCCGCCAGCCTTGAGCCACGGCATCGCCCGCAACAGCGCCATAATAAACCGTCACACCGCAAAAGGCTCAATACCACATAGGTCGAGGGAGTTACAGCTGAGCACAACTGAGTGGTAAGGCTACACCCCTGCGTTGGAGTACCAGCGCGAGCACCAGGAAGAAGTTGAAAGGAAAAAACACTGCCGTGAGTGCCCAACTTCCCAGGACATTTGAAGCCTGGCTAATTTTGCATCTTCAACGCCAGGGACCGCTTTGATACATCCATAGGGCCCTCGAACATGCGGACCGGACCGATCCTGAGCTCGAACGACATGGTCATGCAATCAAGACCATATCTGGCTACTGAGTTAACAGTGCGGTAGACGTTGAACTCTTCGCGTAGTATGACGATGTTCAAACGCTTAGCTGGAATGGGAACTAGAGTACGATTCGTGCTGGCGCGCATACACAAAGATTCTCAGCCACTGGCCTGGCATGCCACGCGGTCGCCAAGGTGCGTTGGAACCTTGACACCTCAGCCCGCGCATAATGAAAAGGTACGTGCCATCAGACACCGTCATCGAAGGGGTAAGATCACCCCACGTAAACTCGTTTGGAACGATTAGGAACCATTCCTTTATATAGCGGCCTAGAACATCACTTGAATCCCCTGACCCAAGAATCATTACTAAATACTGGAAGGTTGTTGATGGAAAGCTTGCAGGCAATGTCATTTCTGCTGAGGAGCAAATCGTGGATACTTCGAATTTCTCCCCGGTGTGCATGTCTCACTTGAGTTATGAGTACAGCACTCCTGTAGACGACTGTCGCTCTTTTAGTTCGGTTTGCCTGGAGTCCGCCGTGATCCAGCCGTGAAGCCCCCAACTGCCAATGCAGTGATCAATGAAGCCTTCCACATCCTATTCATGACAATGCCATGTAATTGAGAGACCTCAGAATGTTCATGTCAGCCAGTCTTCTGGTAGCCCTTCGCGGAGCCCTTCGCAACTGCTGTTGTCAGATGTCCCTGTAAATCTGATCACCAGAAGTATTACCAACACGTCTCAGATCTAGATAATGGCCCTGAACTCATGCAATCTTGATCGCACTGAGTGATGATCAGAAGCAAGGGCTTGAAACTTTAGAGCAAGTGGTAAGCTTTGACCTGATGTGATGGCGAGAAACCTAATCTAGGAGTAAGTAGTTGTGTTCCCTTTATCGAAGGCGCCTTAAGATGTATATAATGAACCAGGTGCTGGAGTTCCGAACACGCATCAGTTTGAAATTTGTACTGTCTGGAGATTGTCATGGTTTGGTTCAGTGCTCAGATTCCAGGATGCAGCGACCTTCAAGTGTCAGGCGGTCTCTAGTGACATCCTTCACTTCCATCCTCTCCTTAGAGAGGCAGTCTGTTTGGATTGCATGAGCCAGACTTTCCCAGAGATGCATTAATCACGCGTTTGACATGAGTGAGAATGTTTTGTGTGATGTGACGTGATCATCAGTGCCATGACAGATCTTGCGGCTTTCGTTTTCGGTTCTAATGCTGAGACTGAAGGCGGGCGGGCAGGGAAGGATGTAGGAGTCAAAATCTTGAGAATGGAAAAGCGCGTTGTGGTGATACTGTCATAGGCGATGTTAATGAAAGGTGGAGGTGTGATAATATAAAGCTGCTGATGCTTCTTCTCTTCGCGGACTATGGAAACGAAAGGATAAACGTGCATCTTTCATTCGATTATCACGATGAGGTCTCATCTTCATCCCGGCGCGAGACACAGGGTGTTTCGAAATGGCATTCAAAAGCGAATATGACGTTGGGAAAACATGCGTCCTGCTTATCTGACCATACAGTAACACACAGTTGAAGTCGACAATGCTCAAAGAATTATAAGCGCTGATTTCCTTACGACAGTCTCTAAATGCAAGTCTCTCTTCGTGGCTTTGTTCGGTAGCCCTGTGAATCAGTATGCCTGGTCTCATAACAACGTCCCGTCGCTTGTCTTCATGTCTCTGTTTGTCCCAGCACATGATAAAGGTGACCAGTCCTAGGAGCAGTCGAATCCCGCTGGCGCCCTTACAATAACCCATTGAAACACACTCAAGCTTGTTTGGGTCCTGAGATACGCCTGCTACTAACATGGGACCAGGTCCCTGGTTTATCCAAGACCTAGCTACTGCGGATTCAAATGTAAATATGCCCACGTTATGAATCGTCGACATCTAGTGCGTGACGAGCGAGGTACGTTGTGCAGCGCCCCGGATGCTTATTGCCATATCCATCTGCTTATCCTGATCCCAATAAAATCTCCCATTCCTACCGAGACCGGGCAAGTTCGCCTTCTGCATCATGCGGCACGCAAGCAAGTCGTCAGTCATGGTCTCAACCGTAATTTATGGCCTCTCGTCTTTCAGCCATGCGTAACACATTCGACATGTGACGAGTTGATGAATAGCGGTACAGACCACTCTGAGTTAACCCCAGTTACCCTACCATCGCAATGACATGCGGCCCACGTACAACAGGAATCGAAAAACTCGTCTTGACAAACTCTACACGCGTAGGATCGGCATGATCACCCGAAATTCGCCAGATATCGATACTACCGCCTGGAATACGACCATCATACTGATCGAATGTCGTCGAAGCGACAAAACGGCTGGAGCTGTCAAACACGACCCCCTCAGGCAGTATGCCGTCGAAGGCGTATGTGCCCACTGTTGATAGAGTACCCTTGGCAGGCTCCACGCGTAGTAAGTTGAGGGATGAGAAGAATCCTTGGCTGGGGCTGTTAAGTGAAGGCGTGCTTCGCTCCAGGTTTGCAGTTACTGCCCACAGTCCATCTGGACTGACTGCAAGTACCTCCGGCATGACTCCGACTTCGGCATGAGAGACAACGCTATGTTGAGGGTCCCCATTTTGTTCTCGTGACGTATCTAGACGAATACTGGAAGATGTTCCTCGAGGTGCCTCGATATCTGGGCCAACGCACATGGCGTTGGAAAGAATATGTCGCCCGTCCGGTGTGAACTTCGCCGTGTATGGTGCCGTCTGCAGATTTAACGAATTTCCCCATCTTTCTAGCTTAGCTTCGGAACCCTGTCGAATTACTGTAACCAGAGTCAAACGGGGTTGCGAGTAGTCTGTCAGGGCTAAAATATCAAGCTCTGGATGGAAAGCCGCGTCCATCAGAAGATGTCCAGAAGGCCAGTCAGGAATAGCAGGTGTTGACAAAAGAGACAGCTTCCCTTCCTGAAATCGATACAGAGCAATAGGTGTCTCGCCTCCGGATCCAGCAAGGGTGTGTGTCACCGCAACCAAGTCCCCAGCTGCATTGACTGACACAGTTGAAGGTTGAAGAAAAAACCTTCAACGGTGTCCACTACTGCAGGTCTGCCCAAGTCGATAGGTCGATGACTGTGATTTTCCGCGAAGAGGGTAGTTACGACATCGTAGTGTTTGGGTGTGCAGACGGCCGCGGCCCAAGAGTCTCAACAACAATCGCATAGCGACCGTTTGGAGTGACCGCCATTGCTGTGGGCGGCCCAACTACTGCGTTTCCAACAGATATGTTCGAGACTTTCCACGTATCGGGATTGTCTTTTATCTGTATGATAGACAGAGTATCCGAAACTTGAGGTGGTCCTATTTTACCATCCGTATAAGCTGAAGACACCATGTCCGCATCTGAGATGGCTACAAGAAAGCGGCCCTGGAAGTCGATATGTCCAACATGAGGAAGGTAATGACCGTAGATAGCCCCTCCAGACCAGAGGACTACTGCCGCAGCAGAGGAGAAGAAAGCCGGTGGCCACATAAGGACTTGGCT